TTTCGTCGAGCGACAAATTTTGCGCGTACGCTTGTCGACGAAGAAAACTGACACAATTCGTTTCTCAATCTTCTTCAATTCCTGGGGGTCTTCTAAGAGTCCACCTTCTACGACAAGGTGAGCGTAACTCTTAGCACGCTCCAAGAACTCCGCAAGATTGATGATACATTTCGGTGGGGACGACCAACAAGAGGGCGATTCCCCGGCCTCTGCATTCGTAGATGCGTTGTCCTTTTCTTGGTTATTGCTCTTTTTAGCCTCCATATTTTCGGAGGCTTTTCTTAAAGTGTCTACAATTTCCTCATTTGTAGGAACTCTGGGCAGGTCCGGGTATTCCTCCATATTATTTTTATCCGGGGGTCTTTTTTGGGATTAAAGAGGTGTTTCCTCATATTTCTTTTGAAAGAAGCAATTTTAGGCTTCTTTTTAACAATTAAGAATGAAGGCACTTTTTTATCCTTCTTATCCATTTTTTTTTTAAACAGCGAAGGGAGGGGAAAGGGGAGGGTGGGAAATAAATTCATGGGCGAGAGGAAAGAAATAAATTAACTAAACAAACTCAACAAAATAATTATGCACACCAAAAAAAACAATTACATTAAGGGAATAAACACGGTTCACTTAAACGTATACAAATATCGCCTAAAGGCGAAACAATAAAAGACAAACAAAAAAAAATAAAAACGTTAGACAATAAAAAAAAAGAAAAAACTTCGACAAAAGCCGAAGCTAAAATAAAATCAAAATGGCTGACGTCAACAAAAAATTACGAAACAATAACACAAAGCTAGTTACAAAAAATGGCCGACGTCAATAAAACAAAAAATACGTAACGAAGACAGACGAAGCTAGACACAAAAAAAAAAAAATGGCCGACCCTAAGCGAGTCGAACCAATAAACAAAAGAAAATAAACAAATAGATTAAAACGATTACAAGCAAAAAAACACGTAAAAAAAAGGATGAAAACAATTAAATAAATAAATTAATAAGAAATTACAGCGAAACACAAAATAACGAACAGGACGAAAATAAAGAAAATGACAATTAACACGGAAAACTAGAATGAAAAAAAAATTAAAAGGGGTAGAAATGAGAAAAAAAAATGCGGAAATTACAGGAGAAAAAACGAAATTAAAAAAAGGCAAATTAGATTAAAACGAAAACGAGTAAAAATTAAAGGGAGTAAAAATTAAAATAGGAAAACTAGAATAAACAGAATAAAGAGTAAAAATTAAAGGGGGAGGGTGAAAAAAAATGGCGAATAGAAAGAAAAAATCAAAAAACTTTTACAATAAGGTCGTAAAAATACAAATAAAATAAACAAACTTTAAACAAAATGCAGTTCCAAAGGGTAACAGGTAAAATCACACAAAAAAAAGGTCAAGTTGTCCGCAAAAGTCCAAAAATAACCAGAAACCAGCCAAGAACGGCTCCGGAGTGTGGAGTCCTGACTGGTGAATTGGACTGAATTTCGTCCTTTTATTTAGTTTGGGAAACCAAAGTAGGCTCCCAGTGTCCTGGCGCGAAAACAGATTTTTGACCATGGATACACATTAGGGGGTCGTCTCGACCAATCAAGGCCGAGTTTCACAATGTGTGGTGTTGATTGGTCAAAGGTAATTCTTATAGAAGAGTCTATTTTAACGAAGGTGTATAGACAAACATTGACGATTCTATAAATACATCCAGATTAATGGTCAGCGTAGTTTGGACATTAATATGTATAAAACAATATTCTTTTCAGTGAAAGCGCCTGCCGGACCACATTTACCCGGTTCAGGCGTAGAAGATGGGTTTTTTACTAAAGTCTCTGAAACTGGTTTGCTGAGTGGTGCCAGCTTTGTCGTCATTGTTGAAAAACTGGTTTTAAGCGGTCAATGCTGACCCTTGCCGGCGAGATCTATAACGAAATATTTTGACGCTCGAGAAATAACCTGGTGCGGGGTTAGGCGTTAGTAAAAACGGACCATATCTCGGCGTAGAAAGAAAAATTGGCTGTATGCAGATCAGTTGGAATATAATAAGGCCTGTGAAAAGCTCTGGTCGGCGTATAAAAGACATTTTTTTCGGAGGTCGCTAACAAACCAAATACAAAAATCTGTCCTGGCAAGGTTAGGGGAGTCCCGAAAACCAAGTCAGCACTAAAGTTCAGGTCCTGACAGTGTTTTCAAAGCCAGCATGATCAGGGAAGTTTATCAACCCAAGTTCGGCCGTTGGGAAGCAGTTATAGCGTATTTAAGCTGTCGATGAAATCTTTCCACAAGGCCATTGGAACAAGTGTGATATGCTGTAGTGGAAATGTGTTTAATCCCCAATAAATTAGTGAACTCATTAAAAGTGCTGATTGAAACTGTGGACCTCTATCGGTAGTGATCACTGAAGGACATCCGAAAGTTGTAATCCAGTTATTAAAAATAGCACTTGCCACTGTTTCAGCTGTAGTTGATTGTAGAGGGATGGCAACTGGCCATCGCGTAAATCGATCGATTACTGTTAAAACGTATTCAAATCCGTTCACATTTTCAAGTGGACCCACTAAATCAGCATGCAGATGGGTGAAACGACCGTCTGGGTTGGCGAAGGTTGATGTAGGTGCCCTCGTGTGTCTGCCAACTTTGGTGGCTTGGCAACGTAAACATGTGCGGGACCACTGCTTAATGTCAGCTGCCATACCGGGCCAGATAAATCTGTCCGATATGGTCCGCAACGTCGCCTTGCCTCCTGGGTGTGCTTGTGAGTGAAAATGTTCGAAAATTAGACGGCGCATACTTGGTGGAATGTACGGACGCGGGTTACCCGTGCTGGTGTCACAATAAACTGACCTGCTCGTAAACGGGAGCGGTCTTTTCTCAATTTTCAAAGAAGTGTCTGAGTGAATAGCTTGCAGGGTTTCATCTTTGGCTTGCTCGTCAGCTAGATTATCAAAGTTCAGTGCGGTACTCTGTACTGCGCTGAGAGTTGTTCGAGAGAGAGTATCAGCCACGGTGTTACTAGCTCCACTAATGTAGCGTATATCCGATGAGAATTGTGATATGTAGTCCATGTAGCGTATATCACGCGGATTGTGTTTATCAGACTTAGCACGTAGGGCGTATGTTAGCGGCTTATGGTCTGTAAAAATGGAAAAATCACGACCTTCTAGAATGTGCCGGTAGTGTCTGATGGCTAAATAAATTGCTAACAGTTCACGGCTGAAGGTACTATACTTCCGTTGGGCCGTATTTAGCTTTATTGAGAAAAAGGACAGTGGTCTTTCCACACCGTTGACTATCTGATGAAGTACTGCACCAACTGTATCCGACGACGCATCGGTAGTTAGCGTCAGTTTTGCGTCGGGTGCAGATGTAATATACGCAAGTTTGGTACAGTCCTGCAACGCTTGCTTCGCTCTATGAAAGGAATCCATCTCGTCCACAGATAATACAATCTTCGGGTTTTTTTGTTTGTGTTTAGAAAGGAGATTTGTCAGTGGAAGAAGTAGAATAGCACAGTCGCGTATAAATCGGCGATAATAATTAATCATGCCTATGAATCGCCGTAGCTGTCGTAATGTTGACGGTGGTGGGAAATCATTAATCGCCTTGACCTTTTCGTCTAGGGGAGTTAACCCATTCTTATCAATGACGTGGCCAAGGAAAGTTAATTTGGGGACAGCGAATAAGCACTTATCGACGTTCAGCTTTAGTCCGTAATGTTGTAACCGCTCAAATACTGACTGTAGATGGTTACGATGTTCCTCGGGCGTTTTACTTGCTATTAGTACGTCGTCAATGTAAGCATATGCATAAGATAATCCGCGGAGAACCTCATCGATAAGGCGCTGAAAAGATTGCGCAGCATTACGGAGTCCGAACGGCATTCGGGTAAATTCGTACAAACCGAACGGTGTCGTAATCGCTGTTTTATGAACATCAGACGGTTCGATAGGGATCTGGTAAAAAGCTTTCCGTAGATCTAGTTTGGTGAAAACTGTAGCGCCTTCAAGGGACAAAGCAAAGTCCTTAATATGAGGAATTGGATATTTGTCTGGCACAGTTTGAGCGTTTAGGAGTCTGTAATCTCCACACGGTCGCCAGCTCTCAGGTTCGCTCTTAGGGACCATGTGTAACGGTGTGGCATAAGGACTGGAAGATGGTCTTATTGCCCATCTTGAGCATATTATCGAATTCTTCCTTAGCCACCCGTAATTTAGTTGGGTGTAAACGACGGGGTGAAACGTGGACTGGGGGTCCAGTTGTCTTAATTGTATGTGTCGTGTTGTGCTTTACGGGTTCTGTATGAGTGAATGGTGATAATAGAGATTTGTACTGCTTAATCAAATCTTCGCAACCATTTGCACTAGGTATTAAAGTAGTTAGTCCAATCGTGGAAAGCTTGGATAAAAATCCTCGTCGTCGTACATCTGTGCACATATCGGTAAGCGTACGAGGTGACAGTTCGACGGACAAGTTGAAGTGTGCGAGGAAATCCGCTCCTATAATAGGTATCTCGACATCGGCTATAGTGAAGGTCCATGTATACTCCCTCCGTAGGCCGATACTTAGAGACATGACACGCTCGCCATACGTGTTTATGGATGTGCCGTTTGCGGCCTGTAACTTTAGCTGGGCTTGTCTGGGTATTATTGATAACTTGTTACAGTAGCTCAGCGGTATAACGCTGATTTGAGCGCCAGTGTCAACTAGGAATTTCAACTTGCTGTTGTTGTCGAATACGTAGAATAGGCGATTTCCATTATCTGCCCTAGCGGCCAACGCCTTTAATGGCTGCCAGGTTCGGCGTTTCCCGCGTTTTTATAAGCACATGGTGACTGACATTTCCTTGCGCGGGCACCAAACACTTCATGGTACCAGCAATAGCCTCTCTGATGGTGACGAGTTTGTCTCGACGTTGATCGCCGCCTACTGGTATTGTGTCTGTTAGTTGAATAACTGCGACTTCGTCCAGGAATACTTTGAATACTGTCGAGGCGTAATGATAGCTTCTTTAGCTCGGCCGTCAAAACATGAAGTTGCTGGTTAACATCCGGGGTCGGGTCATCTGATGGCACGACAGGGGAAATTTATGAATTGGTCTCGTGTCTACTATTTTATCAGCGATCGATGCTAATTTGTGAACATCGACCTCAGTTAGGACTGCTAATATTTGTACGATATCAGGCTGCAATTTCTCCAGCCACATTTGCTTCAATACTGTTTCGGATATAGTGTTGTTACCGAGTAGCGTTATCATTCTCCGAAGAAGTTGGGAGGGTTTGCTGTCACCGAGTGTGACATTCGTCAGAAGATCCTTAATCTTTCGCTCCTCGGAGCAGCCTGTTCGTTGTAAGATTGCCTGCCGAAGCACCTCATACGGCTTTTCGGGCGGGAGATTAATAAGGACATCCGCTACCTCCGCAGCAATTTCAGCGGGAAGCTTCTCCACCACAAATGCGAATTTCGACTGCTGGGACGTCACATGCCTGGCTTGGAAAATCGCGTCAAGTTGTATGAACCATGTTTGTGCATTCATGTTGTAGGTAGGGAGTTCCATCCTGAGTGCAGCTTCGGTTGGCTGTATAGGATCTGCCATGTCGACTGAGGTTATCAGTTATGGTTGTAGCCTTATTCAGAAGTCGGAGATAGCAATTTTGTTGGTACAAACGTCGGTGGTTACCAATTTGTTGCAGACTGGTTGTTGTATTTTTATTAATCAGAAGGAATTTCGAGGGTGTGTTCTAAAAACATTCGTCCACAACAATTACTTAGAACAAATCATGCAAATAAAGTTGGAAAAACAAGACAAAAGTTGAATGCATAACAATAACATTAATTTATATACAATTTAAATATATACACATGAGTTGGTGATTTGTCGTATATTGGTGTAATAAGACATGTAGTTTGTTGTTGATTATGTTTGAATGCTTAAATCAATGTTTTGATGATTTATGGTAAGAATTAAACAGTTTGCTGTTCAACGTACAAAAGTGTTTGTTTTTACAGTTCAAATGTTAATGTGTGTATACGAGTGTTATTGTAAATATTCTTAAGTCGTACGAAGTTGCGTACCTTGAACTGTTAATTGTTGAAAGGTTTTGTTTGTTACTGTTACTCTAATATGTAGTGAATATATATTTCCACTTTCTCAAGTAAAGTAAATGAATTTTTGAGAAGTTTGTTTGATAGAGAGATTGAGTAAACCATTAGGTTGTTGAGTCAGGTTAATTCGCGCGGGAAAGTCAAAGTTTAAATTGGCGTGGAATTGGTTGGCATCTCTCCGAGTGTGGAGTCCTGACTGGTGAATTGGACTGAATTTCGTCCTTTTATTTAGTTTGGGAAACCAAAGTAGGCTCCCAGTGTCCTGGCGCGAAAACAGATTTTTGACCATGGATACACATTCTAGGGTCGTCTCGACCAATCACAGGCCGAGTTTCACAATGTGTGGTGTTGATTGGTCAAAGCTAATTCTTATAGAAGAGTCTATTTTTAACGAAGATGAATAGACAAACATTGACGATTCTATAGATCTAAACACCCGGCGCATATCTGAAGGCATTAGCCATAGATTATCTACCAATTTATCGAATAAAAACATATTCGATGCTAATAAATTAATTTACGAGAAGCCCTAGCTAAAAGTGTATATAAAGATGCAGTTGTATGCCCAACGTAGCGAACTTAATTAACGGATATAACAAGTAAAATCTAGGAATAAACCACGCACTAATTCTAGATGTAATTGTAGAAACAAGAAAGCCTGCCCTCTCCAGGAGAAAATGCCAACAGGAGTGTGCGCTATATCAAGTTAAATTATATAAGTACATAAATAACAACAATAAAGATATAAATCCTAAAGTATACATAGGATCTATTTAAAATGTTTTTAAAAAACGATATTATAACCATATGAGTAGCTTTAATAATGAAAATACCAAACATAGTACTACACTATCTACCTATATATGGAAAATTAGACGTGACAATAAGAAAGACCCCATCCTGAAATGGGCAATATCAAAAAGATGTTTCAAATATAGAGGAGGTCATAAAATTTATCAACTATGTGTAGAGGAAAAATTACCTATACAAAGAAAATGATCATTTATTAAATTCTAAAAGAGAAATTCTCAGTAAATGTTGACATAGAAAATGTTGGTTGTAAGACGAGGTCTCCTCTCCTCCGTTTTTTCTCTCTTCGATTGAATAAATGATTTTATTACCCCTGTTGTTAGTTTCTCTCAAACCAGCCCCACCGTTTTATATTTGAATAAATGGTTCTCCTCTATCCTCCCCCGTTGTTTTTTTTTTTTTTTTTATTTGTTACATGGTTATATTTTTTGGTTTATTGACTATAAATATTCCGTTCTTTTTTACTTTTTACCTTTTTAGCCAGCCTTCTCTGACGATCCACTTAGGTGAAACCTTGGTAGGTTTGTCTGGCTCTTTAGGTTTAACTAGCTCTGCTCTACTTACTGTACTGAGCACTTTATTTAGTTATTTTGCCTACTCGTATAGTTTTGTTTTTTCTTTGGACTTTGGTCTTGCAGGCTAGACGATTATTTTCGGCTAACGTACATGTTCTTGGGTCTTTCTTTGTATATACCTTTTCTTTCCCCTTTGGCATTGGTTTGACTATTTGCAAATCAAAAACTGAAGGTTTTCCGAACGAGTATAATTTTTTTTACTTATAAGATTACTACTACTAATTCTACTACTACTACTACTACTACTACTACTACTACTACCAATTAATAATAATAATAATAATAATATATATATATATATATATATATATATATATATATATATATATATATATGTATGGACCTTGAATAAGTTATCGCTGTTTTCCAACAGATGGCGTTCCATGAACTGTGTGCCTCCCGTTTCAGATATTAACGCATCTGTAAGGACGTACACTAAACAAGCTTGAAATTCAGTGTATGTCATTTTGCCGAAGTTTAAATGACTTTGTTTTTCATAGCATTAAACATGTCGGAGTTTGAAAGAATGAGTATTTGCAGGATATTTTACTGCGCTACTTTATTCAAAAGAAATCTGCAGCTGAAGCGCACAGAATTCTTGTTGAGACTTACGGTGAAAATGCTCTGTTTGAAACAACATGGAGACATTGCATTAGAAGCTTCAAATATAATGATTTTTTTTTATTTTGAAGTTAAGGAAGGCACTAGTGCACCAAAAATTTTTGAAACGTTTGAAAGCATAAGGAATGATTCAAAAGATAGGACATTGAGTAACGTCGAACGGCGTTTTGTCACGTATAAAGAGCTGATTCAACGGCAGAAAATGAAAAGATTTTTTGCATTGTATCCTCACCGTAGATGAAGACTGGATTCAGTATGATAATTCTAAGAGTAGAAGATCGTGGGATAAGCCCATCCATGCATCAATATCTAGCGTTCGAAACATCTGTTGTGCCTTTGGTGAGAGAAACTGGATGCACTTTATGATGGGCTGCTCGAACCGAACGAAACCATCACGGTTTTCCGTAGTGGAATTAAAATGCTACCTGAAAGATCGGAAAAAATCTCGGCTAGCGATAATGAATTCTTTCAGTGACATGTTTCATACTAATTTTTGTAAATAAACATGGGAAATCAACGAGAACTTAATCACGGTCATAATATATATATATATATATATATATATATATATATATATATATATACCTAAACAACAAATTCCATTAACCCAGCAAACCACAATTAATGCACTAAAATATATATAATTATATATAGCAAACTTATTTAAGAACAAGATTATTAGTAACAAAGCACAGACATGTCCTACATAAACCTATGTACACGCATTTATATGAATGTGCTTATCTCTCTCTTTCTCACTCTTTCTCTCTTTCTCTCTCTCTCTATGTATATATATGTGCATCTATATATATATGTGTATGTATATATATATATGTATGTATATATATATATGTATGTATATATATATATATATGTATATATATATATATATATATATATATATATATATATATATATATATATATATATGTATATATATATATATATATATATATATATGTATATATATATATATATGTATATATATATGTATATATATATATATATGTATGTATATATATGTATGTATGTATATATATATATGTATGTATGTATATATATATGTATGTATGTGTATGTATATATATGTATGTATATATATATATATATATATATGTATGTATATATATATATGTATGTATATGTATATATATGTATGTATATATATATATATATATATATATATATATATATATATATGTATATGTATGTATATATATATATATATATATATATATATATATAATGAGCATAGTTGTTCACATGAGATTATGCATAAGAGTATTAATACAGATATATGCATATAAATTGAAACAATATATAAATTTAATTACAAATCTAACATCCAACAATTAATTATTATGTCATCAAACAAAAATACTCTAGTGAAGATATATATGTATAAGTTTATTTGTATATGTGGGAATATATATATATATATATATATATATATATTAAGAAATGGACAAGGTCCGACAATTTATTTATTAAAGACATATTTTTATGTTTAACGTTGTTATTTTATAGATACAAGTATTTAAGCAAATGCTCTGTTTATGTTAATACTGTTTATCATAAACAGAGCATTTGCTTAAATACTGTATCTATAAAATAACAACGTTAAAACATAAAATATGTCTTTAATAAATATATATATATATATATATATATATATATATATATATATTTAAATTATGTATTTAGGGCAGCATATTTTCATTTATACACGTTTCATTAAATAATATAGACCAGTATTGTCTATTTATGTAAATTTTTTTCGTAACATCTGATAAATTTAATAACATTATCGTTGAACGAAAAAAGAAATTCACAATATTGATCCATATTTTTTTTAATACAATCTAAGCTTTCGGCTTACATAAGCCATTATCAAAGATGTCAATTACAACATATTAAACAATATACGGACACGACAGTGATGATAGTCTGTCAATGTTTACATAGATGATTTCTAAGCAACGATAAACACGCGCATATAAGACGCTTGAAGCGAAAATCGCACCGCATCTCATGACGTCACATATGACCATACGAGAGTGAATTGGAGAATGAGTATGGCAAGCCGTTGGTATAAGCCAATGGCTTCTGTTACCAATTATAGACATTTAAGAATATTTGTAGAGATGTCATAATTGATTTTGTTTAGGTTGGGTTTCAACTGTTTGATGTATAATGCTTCAAGTATTTTTAGTCTTTGTCTATAGTTTTCATGTCGAAGTATGATTGTGTTTTCGACAAGTATTTTACGGAATTGTTTGTGCGGGCATGCATGTTGTTTTAAATGCTTAAAAATGTTAGAGTTTTCATTAAAATGTAGTGTCAAGCATCGTGAAAGCGAGTTTGTGGTGTGACTAACATAAATATTATTTAATTCGTTGGAGATACACTCTCCCAAAGGACACTTGAATTTATAAACTATGTTGGTTTTTTGCAAATCGCTAACCGGGGGAGAAGAATCATTGCG